GGATCGATTGACAATCTTACGGAGAGGACACTGAAGCAGAAATTCTTTTTTAATCGAGTGTCGTTTATCAATTTCAAGCTTCGATTTGCTCTCGCCTCTTTGCTGTTCCGCTGTTTTCAGTTCGTCGTGCAAAAGTTTCGGATCGTACAGGTCCTTTCAAGTTTCCTCGTGAATGTGTCAACACTGCAATGAGAACACCTTTAACCAGATGAAAGTTGCTCTTATGTTAATAATTTACGTCGTTGAGAATGACTGACTATCTTTTTGACCATTTGATCTTATTCATTTTGTTACTTATGTTGCGATTAGCTCTCTGAGAGTGAATAGTTTTGTACTCTTACTTGGCGCGAACAGTGACGAACAGGATTCGACTCAACAGTGTATTTTTTCTTTTACACGTCAGGAAAGTAAATTTTCCTTTTATCGAGTATTATTTAGAGAACGTAAATCAGATTTTCCTCTCGTCGAATCTTTCACATCTTTTTTTAGTTATTTCAGTCACGATTATTTGCAAATAATTAAACATTTAAATTTAGATATTATACAAAGTAAACCCAATTATCACTGCCAGAGGATTAAATATTCAATGTTATTTTAACTTTGTTTTATTTTATCTCAGTTACAGTCGTTTCCGTTACCAGCGTCCCGGATCCCGAGTTCGTCGATGAAATAGGAAATATCACAGTGCCAGCAGGACGTAACGTGAAATTAGCCTGCAGTGTCAAGGATTTAGGGCCGTACAAGGTAAATGATTCTATTCTTTTAATATAAATCTGCCACAGCGCGTAGCAAAATCAACTTCTCTGTTATTATAGTCATCGATGATGCAACAATTTTTAATTCTGACACGCGCGCTATTTCGCTGTGTAGACACAGTTGCCGAAAATGAAATTTTCTTCCTCTCGCTCGAATCAAATTTCCTCGCGCGACCAATGAACGTCCAATAAAACCGGCAAGCAAAGTTCCTTGAGAACGCGTTCACAATCGTAGTGAAAGAAGAAGATCCGCCGCGTGTTTCGAAGCCCGTCAGACGGACGCGTGGTAGATGTATGCCAAAGTAAGTGGCAGCAGGCGACTTGGAAACTCTCCGTTACTTCCGGCGTGCTGATTACGCGGCGTCGTTAGATCACGGGATCGAGCTGAAATCGTGCGACGCTTTGATGAACGCGATTCATCAATGAAGGAGCTCGTTAAATTCGAAACGCCGCGCCGCTCCGCGTGAAACGCCGGCAAGCCTCCGGAACGAGCGTGGATGTATATACGCGCGCGTATCCTACCTTCTTGAATAATTTTCTCACTCGGTGCATTCGTATCCCGAGCGCAAGTGAATTAATTGCTCTCGCATCCGCAGCGGAATGCCTCTCCGACTCTGGCCGTTTTTTGCAAATTTTTGCCCCAGTTGAAAAATAATATTTGGACAACGATGTGATTCTCTTCGCCATTGACGTTGGTTGCGACGTCTGCGGGAAATCCCTTTCTATGAATTTTCAGAAAAATTTGGTTGTCGTGTAAATTTCTTTCCGACGTTTGATGTACAGATTGATCTGTGAAAATTACGATGTTACGAACGAAAGATATATATAAAATCTGCATTCTAATTACGACTCATAGCGATCTAACTATAATAATTGAAGCATCAGTGAGACGATTCAAAATAAGATAAAAAAAATTAGTCTTCGAGTCGTAAATGACACGTTGAAAATTTATTGATAAGTTTCATGCTGTTGCAACGACGAACAAACCTATACAATGTGATCATAATATCAGGCTGCGTCGGTAACGATGCCGAGGTGGACGGTACAGCAATTACTTCCCTTTCGGTATTCGCGTGATCCCGGATGTGGTGAGTGGCGAACCGGATGATCGTAGGATAATAACGTCGATCTTCGAAGGTGCTAGTTGGCCGGTTTAAATGCGTGTTTAGCATTGTTGATCCTCTCACCGTGGTACACCGAGGGTTAATCGAGGTAGACTGCTATCCTTTTCGTTTTTCGATTATACATTCTCGTTCAAAAATCTTAGAACTACTAAAATCGTAGAACTCCGTTCACGTGAACTTCATTTATTTGAACCAAATTTTGGTCAAACCAACTCTTCCAATTACATGAACGAAAAATCGTTGGCAGAACAGAGAATCAGTATTCTTTTTATGGACAGTGGAATTCTATTGTAATATTATGTTTGAAGTACGTGAACTGTGTGAAATTTTTAAATGTATTATATCTTATAATAGTACTTTATATTTTGAAAGTACGACATTTGAAACCGAAATAATATTTCATTTTCAAAAGAATTAATATATCAACAATGTATTCTAAAATATGCAGTACATATTGTAGTAGTATAGTAGTTTTTATTATATATTTTATAGTAAAAAATAAATGCGTAGGATCTGGCCTAGAATTTTTGAGCGAGAATGCGTAAAATCATTGACCTCGAGACAGACTTTATTTTATTCACGGAGATAAGGAAACTCTCTTGAATAAAAAAAAACTCGACGTGTAATTACATTATTCCGCTCGATGTGTGGTAAACCGAACGAACATGAGGAACGAACATAGTAGTAGGAAGGTTGATCCGGGTTAAAGGAAACGATTTGGTCGGTTTAAGCGGGTGTTTAGCGGTGTCGATCCCTAAGCGACCTTTCCATGGGACACTAAGAGCTGCTACGGGGGTAGTATACGACTCGTAAGAAGGGTTGCAAGCTAAAGGCAACTTGTGTGTAACGTGGTATAGAATCACTTCACGCCCTCTGATCGTTGACAAACCGTCGTCGTCTTTATGGTGCTATTACGGGCTGTTGAAAGGATTAAGTGTAATCACCCTCAAAGGAGAGAACAAAGTCTATTGTACGTTCCTCTTTTAATTATTACCACCAGTCTAACGAATTTATGTAAACATTTCTTATACTTTAGGGAAGATCCAGACGAAGTGATTAAAGAATTATCTCTAAAACTTACATTTGTTAAATTTTAACGTGTATTTTCTAATATAATACAGTTGTTAATGTATCGACGTAGATTCTTTGATATGTGAAATATTTTATTCGATTCAGTTTTGTAGCAAATATAGATAGTACTTGTCTCAAGGCTTTCGGGCAGAAGTGTAAGCACAGCTCGGTACCTTAATTCGATATCTTCGAGCAATTCGTATTTTTTCTATTTACGAGGATCACAGGACGAGAGAAAATTCATTATTTTTAATAACATTATGTATCGCGTGCTTGACAAGAGTTGTTGGCTTACGATCTGACGAGCTCGAAACTTTAATTAAGATGCACAAGGTTTGACTTCTCTTGCTCATTAGCGATTGAAGTATCATCGTAACTGCATCTTCGAAACCAACAAATACACGAGCATGGGGAATCGTAACGACTTCTCGAATTAACAAACTAATTTCAATTAATTAACATCTCGAGGTTCCAGATCGCGTGATGAAGCGTTCCGTAAAAGAGAATGAATCCAATCCTTTATAATTTTGTAGTTTCCAAAAATCCTAAATACCGGCAAAATGTCCTGCCCTGCGTCAAAATTTGTCTTCTTTTTATTTTCGGGAAATATCGAATTTTGCAGATTACCGATTTCCACGAGTCATGAAGATAAGTATGAAATCGTGAGATATTTCATCTCGACTGTGTTACAGTACTTTCAAAAGTTGCCAATAGCAGCGATGCTATTCGGTAAAAAAGAAAACTTCGTATAAATTTTCGAATTATTTATACGTGTTTTTCAAGCGAATATCACAAACATTCGATAATTTAGAAATAGAGTTAACTAATTAAAATCCATAAAATATCCAAAATCCACAAAATACTCAAAAAGCTGTTGATTGTAACTTTCTTTTAAAACTTGTATTGAATTTTAGTAAAAGCGTTCTTACGATGAGGATTACAATTCCTTTTTAAAATAGGCCTCGTATCGGATCTATTAACATTTCGTCTCGTTTAATTTAAATATTAGAAACGCCGTCAATATTTTACAAACAGTCTGGTTTCAACCAACCAACATTTAACAATTAACATTCATAAAAAAAATGTTAAAAATCCATCAAAAGGCTTCAGTGATCTGCCCCTCACTTTTAAAATGTTATCCGTCTGTCGCGGATTTCGAGGAAAATTTCCTCATACAAAAATTAATGGCTCCTTCGCGCAATGGATCTCGTGTTAAACAACTACTTTAATCTACTCGTAAACTTCGTCTCGTTTCGATAATCGACGTTCACGTACATACTCCCTGCACGTGTAGTATGTCAAATTAAAGTTTCGGAGATTCTCCGACGGTGGAAAGCAAAGTCATCGCGTGGCAAACGCATCGAAGGATCCCGCCGAATGGATTCCGAATTTAAGATTCGGGAAGCGGCAGAAAGACGACGACACGACGACTCCTCGCGCGACGTACGAGTTGGCGATAGTCCAGAAGATGCCAATTCAATCTTCCTGCCTGTGCTGCGGATGGAAATTTTTCAGGTGGCCGACGAACTTTCCTCTTCTGTGCCTTCCTTCGGCCACTGCAGTCTCTTAGTAGCTACGTTTCTTTCTCCTTTTCTCCCGCCTCCTAAGGATCCCCCGCCTTGCCTTTCTTAACCGTCATCCACTTGAATAACATTGGTTTCGAGTGCAGCTACATGCACGCGCTGGTCTCTCTCGTGTATGCCACTCTTTGGTACCTAATTATATCGGACCGTATGAAAGGTTGCAAAGCAAGTTGCAGATTGCACCCCTGGATCTCTTGATTTTCAAATCGAATTTATGGAATTTTACGAGCGCGATTGAAGTAAAGTGAATTCAGTATTCAGAATTAGAAACAGTAGAACCTATTTGCATTGTTCTAAAGTATAGAATTTTGAACGAAATATATCTGCTTTGAATATATATATATCGTAGAAGCTTAGTACGCGTAAGATAGTTTAATTTCGAATGTCATTAGTAATAATAAATAAGCCTGATAAATGCAAAAAAAAAAAAAAACAAGAAAAGAAAAACTCTTTCATTATGCGTGTATAACAACGTTTGTGAAGAAATTAAAAAGATCGATCTAGATGAAAGCGTCACGTGATCGAGGCACGTAAATCGAATAAATAATAAATAAAAATAATTCAATTTCTTTCGCCGATCTATTCTCGATAGCTGGACGTATAACAAATGGCGCCAATAACGCCTTAAGCGTCGGCGATAGAAATTCGCGACGTTACTTCGGCGCAATCGATAACATTTGCCATCAGGTATTTTGCGAATCAGCGCCGGTTTATTCGTTTCCACGGGGGAGGTTTGCGGCGGTGATTGTCGCCGGGGCAGCGTCTCAGAAAAATACCATTAAACACAAGATATTAAAATTCCTGGATCGTTGTTCCGCAGTCCGAGTCAATACGAGAGAGGCAGGCGAGAAGAGTCGGTCGTTGAGGAATTTCCTCTTAGCGTTATCGACTTCCGCCGCGCCGTGTGAAACCTTCAGGTGAACGTAATTTGAAAATTCTTTGCCTTTCGCCTCCTCCCTTCGCCCTCTTGTCTCTCTCTTTTTTATCGATAATCTATAGCTAATTATACTAATTAGCTTTTTTAACGTTGGAAACGAAATTATCGCGTATCTCGATACCCCGTCGAAAGTTAGAACGTCAACGATAATAATAACGTTGCACTGTAAAGTGTTAAAAATTTTCAAGTATTAAAATGTTAAAAATTGTAAAATATTAAGGTGTTGTTGTTAATATAAAATTCATCAATATTGTCGTTCGTCAAGCAGGAACTTGTGACGTGGGAAAATATTTGCATAAATGATATTATCAGTTTTATTTTCATCATATTATTACGAATTAATAATAACTGCCATAAATGTTAATATAGTATAATATTATTAAGTTGATGTATACGAAATGTTGTTTCTTAGAAGTTTGATTTTAATGTATCAACGCTGTCGTGAAAATTCAGAATAAAAATACGAAACTTCGTCATCGCGACATTATGCACTCAATTAGAACACTCGTGTGAACCACGTATGCGAACTTCGATTTGGAAAAAATGCATAAATTTAACATTTAAGAGAGGTTAAAGGTATTTGTAAATTATTTTCACGAAATTACGACAGTTCGGTTACCTATGAATTCTGAAATCAATAATTTTTATATCAACAAATCCAGAACAAAATAAACATTGACATATTAATCACTTCATGTTTAAATTCATAATATTTTAAAGGAGCTCGGGGTACGATTAAAATTTGATGAATGCGTGAAACGACATTCGCATCAATTTAATAGCATTGTACTCATGTTACAATATTATTTGTTACAACAAAATTATGTATTACCACGCGTAATTTTTTTTTTATCGAACGTGATGCATGTTATACGACCGAAGACGTCTACGTCTCTAGCGCTTGTCATGGACAATTTTCTACCATAATCGTAAAACGGAGGAGCAGACGGAAGAATCATCCTGAGTCAGGATCGAAAAATACATTTTCTTATCAGGCATCTCTTCCTCGTCCCATTTCCGTAGGAAAGGTTGATCGTTCCGACCAATCTATCCCCCTATGTTACGAGGTCCGGTGTAGCATATAGGCCGTGGTACTATAGTATCGCGGAATAATATCATTAAATCGTGAGATCCCCCCCATTAGAGGCTCGATACATATCGCGGGCTGTACAAATAGCCTGACTTTTTTCTCTTCCTTTTGTAACGTCATTCATCGATTTCTCCTCGAGGAGATAAATATTTAAAGAGTTCCAGTTTCCTTGACTTCCAGCTGATATATGGTTCTCTCGATTCCATAAATCTTCCTACGCACGCATAACGTCCGAATGAAATTCATATTGTCCTTCGAGAGCTTGTTTTTTGGTGTTTGTTAAGCGGGAGTTTTCAACGCCGGGTGACGTTTTTGGGTAAAGAATATTTTCGCACTTCTTTTGATACTATAACAGTGCACAATGTAATATATTATACAATAATATTCTGCATAGTATTAATTGTGGTTACAATATTAATATTAATTCGATGCCTCGTTAGATGAACTAGTTATTTATTTATTGATCTTGCTTGGGAATCATTCCAACAGGGAATTGCTTTTCTGGATCATTTCGTGTTGTGAAACAATTTAATCCTCCGAATATTATTTACTACCCCCGTCGTAAATGTACATACGCTACTCTTACAATTCGTCCCATAAAACAGAGAAAAAAGAAAAATACTTTCTACCGCAATGCGTCGTCCAAGTGCTATCATAAACCCTGCCGCTATTTTATTATTTATTTAACCGGGCGTTTCAACCGAGTGTTGAAACGATCGACCCCACGGAATTCTTCTTCATCGCGAGACGATTCCCCATCCGACTCTATATTAAGTTCCATTCAGATTATTCCTCAATTAATTAGCCCGAATGATTTTTCA